GTTCTTTATTCCCCGTAAGGAGATTAAGCGCTAAGTCAGTGTGGGGATTTTTTTATAGCTCTTGGTTCAATGTCAGAACAGAGCTTAAAGAGTCTGGCACTCAGAAGGACCAGCGGCGGTCCTTGCCCAAGCGTAGGAGGGCTGGTTAGAAAGGTTGCTGGCCTCGGATCTCCATCCTGCCCTTCCAGACGTGGTGGGAGGTGGCCCCCGGAGACTCATGGCTGCCTTGTCCTACCTCTAGAGAGACGGACGATTCTGTTTATCAGGGAGTCAAAATGTGTTTTTTTGCGTTTTAGTCTTAGGGGATGGCCAAGGGCCAGGCAGACTCTTAATACAGGAGGATCTCCATCCTGCCCTTCCAGACGTGGTGGAAAGTGGCCCCCGGAGATTCGCCTTGTCCTGCCTCTCAAAAGATGAACAATTCTGTTTATCAGGGAGTCAAAATGTATTTTTTTTTTTTTTGCATTTCAGGTCTTAGGGGATGGCCAAGGGCCAGGCAGACTCTTAATACAGGAGGACCCCCGTATCCACGAGCAATCAGTTCCAAGTTCTGTGGCTGCTGAAAAACGCATAGTGCGCGCTTTTTAATATTGAACATTATGCATAGCATGCTCTCTGACTGCCTCTAGCGGCCAGTTCTGGTAACTTCGTCTTTAGGAATAGGCATTTCTAGGTTTTTTCTTTTATATTTTAACTATTTTCAGACCATGGATCAGTGGATACCGGTCCCATGGATGTGGGAGTCCAACTGTATTCCATTAGTATTGATCAACCATCCCGCTGTTTAATGAAACACTTGGATAAAAATTCAGTTTAGAAACTGTGGCTTATCAGGACCAAAAAAAATCAGTGGAAGTTTGAGAAGCGATTGTCCTTTTTTTTGGCTGTCAACCTCCCTCCCCTGTTTTTCAAAGTCTGCTCCATCTCTCCAGAGGGTGGGAAGAATCATGCAAGTTGTAGGGGGCTGTTTTGAGATCGAGGGCTTGACCAGCCTGCGACTGGATGGTTATGGATCCAGAATGGGTTCCTCCTGAGACTTCTGGGGTGGAGGGGTTTCCAGGGAGGTGCGCTTTACACCAAGTCTCGGGACCCTTGGGTGGCTCATCGTAGTGCTGTGCTCAAGGTTTGGATCAGACGCTTCTCCCTCGGGGGCCTCCGCTTGGTCTACTTGAACCAACCCTGGCCTGGCTTGCTTTCTGATGCCAACTTTGCCAGCTGATGCCAACCCCTTCAAATTCTCGTTCTCCGCAGAGGAAGGGAAGGAAGAGATCGTGAAGGTGACGTTTGAGGAGCTCCGGCAGCAGGTGGCTCTGTACGCCGCGGCCTTGCGGAAGATGGGTGTGCAGACGGGGGACCGTGTTGTCGGTGAGTCGGCCTCCCGCCTGATTGTGTAAAGCTGGCGGGGGAGCAGCCGGCAGAGGGCTAGTAGACACACACGCAGCCTCCCCCCCACATTTTCATTCCAACATTTGCATGAAGGATCCCTTACCTTTTGTGTTGCCTTGGGACACACTGGATTCTTGGAGGAATTCCAGTCTTCCAGGCCTGGAGGAAAAGAGCAAGGCTTTGAGTGCAAACTTGACATTTGCGGGCTGCAGCTTTGCTGTCTGGTTTCACTGCGTCCGGATTCAGCTCAAACGGGGCAGATTAGTGTTTGCGTCTTCTCTGCAGAAAAAAAGAGAGCGTCAACTAAAAATTCCTGTTTTGTAGAAATTGGCAAACCCAATTTCTAGACTGGCTGCCGTTGGAAGGCTCGTCCCTCGGCTTCTCCTGGAGCAGCTATGAAATGTTGTCTCCTGTGTTATGCAATGTGGCTTCTGACTCCTGGGCACGGGAAAGTCCCCGGCCCACATACTTTCCTCTTGCCAGGTCTTGAGCCATAGGTGGAGTGCAGTGGTGCTCAGTCGCACAGCGATTGCTGCGTAGCAAAGATGTTGCAACTTGGGCTTTTCCATGACTTACATCTGAACTTGATCGTTCTTCAGGAGCGGGGAACAGTTGCAATTAAGAGCTTGTCTTGATCACAGTGTTGATCAAATGGGCTATATTTTTCCCCCAATTCCAGTAGGAGCCCCTATATCTGCAGGTAATCGGTTTCCGCTCCCCCCATGGATGCTGAAAAACTCAGATTATAGCAAACGTGATACAAAGCCTGGTCTCAGGCTGCCTCTAGTGGTTAGTTCTGGAAACGGCATGGTGGAAATATACTGTATTTTTCTGTGTATAAGACGCCCCCACTTTTCTAATCCAAAATTAAAAATATATGTGGGGCTTAGCAAGTGTAGGGGGAAAGGGATGAAAGTGCTGCAGGATCGCTTTGATCCCTGCTCTCCCCTCCACTTTTTTTTGTTCCCTCATCAGCTTACTTCCGTGTCTAAGGTGACCCTCAATTTTTAGTCCAGATTTTAGACAAAAGTATAGTCTTATACACGGAAAAATACAGTATTTCTCTAACAAATGCTCTACATAGCATGGTCTTGGGCTCCAAATATTTATAGAAATATATATTTCTGACATTTTAAAAAATATTTTCAGACTGTAGATAAGTGCCTCAGTGGATATTGATCCTGCGGATATGGGGATTCTACTATACTTTGACGTTGGAGCACAAAATTTCTGTTTGGTGGGCTTCTTGTATGGACAACTCCCCTCCATGTATCTTAAGTGCAGGGGCTGGCCCCGGAAGCCACTTTCTCTCCGTTTACCCCTCTGGCACTTGTCAGGTTGGTATCAGGGGTTTGGCCTTACAGAGATAGCATAGAGGGCAGACTTAGCAAATCCCAGAGAGAGGAAGTTTAGCGGTGCCACCAGCGAGAAGGCCCTGCCTTGCTGTTACCTTGTAGATGGATGTATTGCTCCAGGTGGGGCCGAGTGCGTTATTGAAACAACGAGGCTGGAGAGATACCTGGATGGGGGGGAGAGAGGGCAAGTTTTGGAAGACCTTCGCGGCCAAAGGATGCAATTTAATATTGGGGGCTTTGTAGGACCGTTGTTCCTGGGATTGAAAAGAAAAAGATGGAGCCAAAATACCAAAGTATTTAGCTGAAAGCTGTTTGTGCCAGTAAATAAGCCTTCTTAGAAGAGGTGTTTTCAGCTTTTTGAAATGTAATTCCAGGCGATCTTTTTAAGGTTATGATATCCATAGGCTGGCCCTGAAAAGATCATGGCCTGCTGTTCCTTCTCAGATTCTAATCAGGTAGTGAAATACATCTTGTAGCCTAAAGGACATGTTTTGTGATAACGGGGATGATGAGGAAATGCATCCGTGACATGTTGTGTGTGTGGTTTTTTAAAAACCTAATTGAGCGTAGCTTGATTGCCCCGGTGGGAACACCTTAGGGGACAGTTGACACTCCACCATCATCAGAAAGCTTGTTGGTTGTGTAACTCATTTGACCTCTGAAGCGAGAAGTAGAGGAAAGGATGATTTCTGTGAACTGGGTCAGACGGAAGAGGAGTGACCGGCCCAAAGAGTTGCCAAGTGGATTCTAGTTCAGCACCCTGGACTGGGAGATCGCTCTTGGGTGTTCGGGGACTTGTAGAACCACATGTAAGGGAATGAGGAAGGGCGTTCTGACTCGGCGGGATGGAGGTGGCCGCTGTTTTTGCTGCTGCGTTGGTGACGTCTCATCTCGCGGCTGCTCTGACCTTGGTATCGTTTTAGGTTATTTGCCGAATGGCATCCACGCCGTGGAAGCCATGCTGGCGGCCGCCAGCATCGGGGCAATTTGGAGCGCGACGTCGCCCGACTTCGGCGTCAATGTAAGTCACGCTGGGGGGGCAGACGGAGCGTGAAAGCGGCCACCTTGCCTTCCAGTGGGAAGGGGGTGCTTGCGGGATGTCGCCCCTCCTGTCCACCGGCTTGCCCCACAATGGACTGACCCCTGCGATCTCCCCCACCCTGACCCGATGGGGCTGATCTATTTCAAAGGCCGTTTATTTGACCCCTGTTCCTTTGTTTGGGTCAGTTAAAGAGCAATGGGACCTTGAGCTGCTCTGATTTGCTTCCTCCCACAGGAGACCCGATCAAGAGAAAGGAGTCTTTCTCTGCCTTTAAATCCGAGAGAGCTGATTCTGTTTAGAATTGACCACGGGCTGGAGAAATAACGCTAGGCCTTCAGTGATCTGTCCTGCTTTCCCACAATTAGGCCAGCAGAGAGCAGCCTCCCTCCATGTCCACCAACCCAAGCCTCAGTTATTCAAGAAATCATAACTTAAAACAAGGTCTCCTTCTCCCCACACCCCAGAAAATGCTTTGTAGTTTCCCCACTCTGGAGTGACTTCCTTCCCCACCAAGTAGGGTAATCTGATTTGTTCGCAATGCCTATATTTATCCAACCCGTATTATTTTGTTCCATTTTAGATTTGGGATTTAGGTGAAGACATGCCTCTTTTCCCCATAGTTTTAAGAGTCCGGAGCCTGGGGCGTGGGAGGAGACATCCTCCGCTGAAACGCACTGGCTGTTGCATTAACGATGCCTCTGCCTTAATCGTGCTTGATGCCTGTGATCACAACGTGTAGCAGGGAATGGGATTTTCGGAATTTACAGATCCATTCTGGGAGTTCTGTCTGGTGAACAGACACTTATAGGCATCTCAATGGGGCTCGCCTGGGAGAAAGGCCTAACCCGGAAGACTTGGAGGCCAGGTTAGGCCTAGCCTTGCTTGACTTCCTGCTCAGAAAGCAAGCTCCCAGCTACCACTGGGGCAGGAACAGGAAGCTTGGATGGAGCCAGGCCTAACTAAGGCTCAGAGTCTTCCATTTTACACCTTTCCCCCAGACTAGCCACATGGAGATGTCAGTCCCAGAATGGAGAGTTATACGACTTGTAATACAAAAATAAATACATTAATTAAAAAACGGAAAATCTCATCCTTGCAAATTTAGTTCAGCGCTAGTTCTCGGCATCTGGAGAGTCCCAAGGGGGTCACCCCCTGATTTAAAACAAGGATTTGAAACAACCCATCAAGCAGCTCAAGCTGGTTTGAGCAAGCCAGGGTTTAGCTAGATTTAGTTGCCAATCTGAGAATGGTGGTTAACTCGAAAAACAAAAGCTTATATGCCCTCTGCCAGGGGCAATGTTTCAGGGCCCTGGGTGGGGAAATACCTTTCTTAGAACATTTTCTAGGGTGGACCAATGTCTCCTTTTTGCTTCTGCAGACGCCAATTTGTGCACCTTTCTGTCTTTTTCAATCCTGTCGCCCAGGGTGTGCTGGACCGGTTCTCTCAGATACAGCCCAAGGTGATCTTTTCCGTGGAAGCGGTCGTCTACAACGGAAAAAAGCATAACCACCTGGAAAAGCTTCAAAATGTTGTAAAGGGTACTGGCTATTTTCTGTACTCATGAGAAGGGGAACAATCTTCCTTTCCTCTCCCTTCTGGTTCCTCAATGTAATGAATTCTAAAATTCCAAAATCTCCAGCATTGTAAAATCCTGGAGATTGTCCGGTCTAGCAGTCTGACGCTGCGGCCAGAAGACTCACGTGCCAAAGCTGTCTGGTTGAGAATTTGTGGTTGGGAGGACAGAGGTTTGTAAACAGTGTGTCATGTAGAGCAAGCTGCCCACTAAGAAGTGTTCAGAAAAGTTACTTGTTTGGGTCACAGCTTTCCAAACCCTCCAGCTGTCATGGGTAGAGATAGAAAGGACCTAGGCCAAACAAACCATGGTTTATTGAAACGTCCAAACAAACCATGGTTTATTGAAACGTCCAAACAAACCATGGTTTATTGAAACGTCCAAACCATGGTTTATTGAAACGTCCAAACAAACCATGGTTTATTGAAACGTCCAAACAAACCATGGTTTATTGAAACGTCCAAACAAACCATGGTTTATTGAAACAGTGAGGACAAAAATGGAACTAGGTTTGGTGGGTACTGTTGTGAAACCATTGGGAACTGGTTGCCTTTGTTGATCTGCCAGGGAAGTGGGGATTGACCAGTAGATTCCAGTTGGAGGTTTGTCTCTCACTCGCTTAACTGCTCCTCATGACCTGGTACAAGTTTTTCAGCGATGTGGTTGGGGTGGAAGGAGAGCAAGCCAAACCCCATGATATTTCACTTCAGGAGTCCTGCAAAACGGATTTGAGAAACCAGGAAACCTGAATCTAGGTGTGTTGAAAGGAGTGTTTGAAATGTCTTGCTTCTGATAAAATTGCTTCGTCCCAAAGCGGGCATTTTTCTTCTGACCTGGATCGCTGTGGAACGAGGCATTGCAAACAAGCGGAAGCAGAAGTGATGGCCTTTTTCTCCCTGTTTAAATTCTCTGTTTCCTTTGCAGGATTGCCGGATCTTAAAAAAGTTGTCGTCATTCCGTACGTTTCCTCGAGAGAATCCATAGATCTTTCCAAAATACCAAATAGGTATAAACAAACATGTGCTTCCCTAATTAGATGCTCTTAGATTACATCACCCTGTTTGTTACACACAGGAACCTTTCAGTTGTCTGGTCATATCCCCAATATTAAAATACGTTTGTGTGTTTCAGTCAAAGCATGGAACTTTTCTTTTTTTGCTTTTCTTTTTACTAGAGAGTAGAACTTTCATGTAGATGGGCAGAATAGGAATCCAATAAATAAAAATAAATAAATAAATACTACAAATTCCATAGTCCTCTGTCTGGCAGTGCTGTGGATTCTGGATGTTGTGGTCCCAAGAAACCACTGCTTTGATGCCTAAATAAGGTGCCCGGCATCTTTAAATAGTTGAGTGAGCTTCTCCTCGGTCAATTAAAAAACAAACAAACTAATGGTCTCATAGGTTTCCCTCTGGGAAACGAATCAATTTCCGGTTTAAATTTCCCCTTCGTTCTTGATCTTTTAGTTTTCTTCTGCCTTTTAAAAAAAATGTGTCTGAAAAAGAGAATTTTGGGTTAACGAGGACAGTGGCTGTGAGGGTTGAGATCCAACGGGCATGATTTGGAAGGCGCTGTCCTTTTCGGAAAGGGCCCCCCCCTATAATGTGTAAGTTTGTCTTCCGAGTTCAATACTGATTTTTATTCTCTTCCTCTCCCCCTGCCTTTTTTTTTCTGTGCCGGCTTCTTCGAACAGCGTCTTTCTAGAAGACTTCCTCGCTACGGGGAAAGGAGACCAAGCCCCCCAGCTGGAGTTTGAGCAGCTTCCCTTCAGCCATCCTCTTTTTATCATGTATTCCTCCGGCACAACGGGCGCCCCCAAATGCATGGTCCACTCGGCGGGGGTAGGTCTCTTTTCATCTGGGGTGACGGGGTGTGTGTATACAGATGTTGGTAAGAAGGGATGCCGAGGCACAGCCTGGCTCAGTGGCGGTGAACCTTTTTGGGCTCGCGGGCAGAAAAACAAAACAAAACAAAAAGTGGTGGTGAGCCGCGGTGGCATGGCGGTGGAACCAGAAGTGGCAGCGGAAGGAAGAATCCCGGGCACGGAGGTGCCTCGAGACCCCACTCTGGCTCCGCCTGTCGAAGCCCCAGCGCTGTGGCTGTAGCTGCCTTCTCAGGTTTGGCTGTGCGGTGGGGAGTATCGATCCAGCAACTTAACGGCTCACGTGCCCGCAGAAAGGGCTTTGCGTGCCAGAGGTTCGCCATGGCTGGCCTAGCTGGAAATGAAGAGGCTGAGTTGCCTTGGTGGCCTTTTTCTTGACACGGTCAACCTCGATCTGCTCACCCGAGGAGCAAGTTGGCAAGAGTTAGGGAACCCCATGCAACGTAAAGGGTAAACTTTCAAGAAAGTTCCCGGGTGTGGGGACCAGGATCCGTCGATAGGTGGATAGAGAAACCCCAGGGCTTGGAGCTTAAAGCTGTTATTGTCAGGAATTAAACCTCTGTAGAAGCATTTTGGCCCTTTGGAAAGGGCGGAAGGAACAGGCTGAAGAAGCGAATAACCCTTTGCAGCTCGCTCCATGAACGAAAGCAGGGCTCTGCCACTAGATGGCAGCTCTGTATTGCTGAAGAACCAAGCAGGAAGTACAGTGATGCCTCGCAAGACGAGCGCCCCGTTTAATGATGAAATCGCATTACAACGGACTTTTTGCAATCGCAAAAGCGATCGCTTTACGATGGTTTCAATGGGGGAATTTCACTTTGCGACGATCGGTTCCCTGCTTCGGGAACCAATTCTCGCAAAACAACGATTTTCGGCCAGCTGATTGGCGGTTTCAGAATGGCCGCCGGGCAAAAAAAAAAAAGGCTCCCCGCTCTTTTCTGGGACGGATTCCTCGCTGCATGGGCAGCGAAAATGGCCACTCTGTGGCGGATCTTTGCTGGACAGTCAGTTTCAAGTCCATAGGAACACATTAATTGGGTTTTAATGCATTTCTATGGGCTTTTTTATTTCACATTATGACGTTTTCATTCTACAGCGATTTCGCTGGAACGAATTAATGTAATGCGAGGCACCACTGTAATCATCATCATCATCATCATTATGTGGTTCATTGACATTGCAATTCCAGGGGATGCCAGAGCTGAAAATAAAGAAATGGAAAAACAAACCAAATACAGAGATCTGGCCACTGAAACATCTCGCTTGTGAATGAAACACACTTCCGTGCTCCCCGGGGCTTTGGGAACAACATCACGGAATTTCACACAGTTGTAGATCTCAGAAATTGTACCTTCGGAGCAACAGAGAATAGCAATATTAGGAACAGCATATATACTGTGCTGGTCTTTGACAGACTATTAGGAACAGCATATATACTGTGCTGATCTTTGACAGACCCTTAGGTTTTTGGTTAAAACTTGTATCTGTTAAACAACACCAGTCTGAATTTTTTGATTGACCTTGTGTTTTTTAAATAATAGGTTTTTGGTTAAAGCTTGCATCTGTTAAACAGCACCAGTCAGCATTTTTTGATTGACCATGTGTTTTTTAAATAGCAACGACAAGAATAATATTTTTCTTGCTTGTAGTTTCATTCCCCCATCTTCTCTAGGGCGTGTCCTGCTTTGCTGGACTCTCTCTGTAAAAAAAAAAAAAAATCAATTCTCTAAACTGCCTAAGCGTATCACCTTTCCCTCCTGCATATATTTAGCTTTGCATTAAATCTGTAATGTGTCTGGCAGAGGAGGTGGCGATGGGGAGAGCAGAGAATCCACCTTTCCTTCAAGAAGCGGAAGAGGGCATGCATCGTTTTCCCCCTTTGCCCTCCTCTTGTTCACAACAGCCCTGCTAGGTGGGCTGGCCGGAGAGATGAGGAGGCCATGCATTTTCACCCGGATGCTGCATGCGAGTGTCTTTGTCTCTTTTTCACCTCCAGGGGACGTTAATTCAGCATCTGAAGGAACACATCTTGCACGGGAACATGAGTAGCAGCGACAACATCATGTACTACACAACGGCAAGTGTAAAAACAAACCCGCAAACTGGAGACTGATTTGTAGTAATAAAATGGAAAATTTCTCATGCTTGGGAATATCTGATTTGGTTGGTTTCCTACTATTCTGGACCAGAAAGGGAACTGGCATTCCCCCCCTCCCCCCGTTCAAGTAATCCAGAAATAAGCCACAATCTGAAGCCCAGCGAAAGGGCGATCTTTTATTTATTCACCGTTTATTGCAGTGATTTATGTACTGCTTTCTGAGATATGAACTCTCTTGCCAGGGTGGCTTGCTAGGTCCTTGTGTTTGGAATCTTTACATACATATGCTCAGATAAGAATATTAAAATGTGTGTATGTATGGAACGTGTGTGCATTTTATCCGTCCGTTTGCATCTTTTGCCTAGTTGAAAGAGCTACCTTTGTAAACTAGGATGGATCCACTTTTAAAAAACAAAAACTGATCAAACATGCCACCTCCGATCCCACGCACGCATCCTGCAGCTGCTGCAAATGTTACCCAGAAACCTTGTGGGGTGCTTGGCGTGTGACCGGCATGTTGCACTCCCACGCCAGCAATGTAGATTTTGCCCAACCGCCTCCTTGAGAGAAGCTGTGACATGAACTTTGCGAGTCTTGGAAGAGGTGACGACAGCCGCCGCCTCTGATAGGAATCCGCCACGGGAAAAAAAAAAAACCAAGCCGCTCACACCGGTCTCCTCTTCTCCCTAGACTGGTTGGATGATGTGGAATTGGCTGGTGTCGGCTCTCGCCGTCGGCGCCTCGGTGGTTCTGTACGACGGGTCGCCTCTCGTGCCGTCCCCCAACGTCCTGTGGGATTTGGTGGACAGACTGGGGTAGGTAAAGGGTGTGTCTCAGGGTCTCTTAGCGCAGCCCCCTCCCCGTTTCCCTTTCGAGGACGATTTGTGATTCCTGGAGGGGTGATCTGAGTCATTGATCCGGCAGAAACAAGGAAGAGAGCCAGCCTCCGGGTAATCAGGGGCCCAAATCCTGTTAGTTGGTGTAACGTCTCAAGGCAAACAGTCTCAACTTAAGAGATTGCTGTAGACATCATCTCTTCAGTACAGCAGGACCACAGCATCCACACGGGATCGGTTCTAAGCCTCCCCGCAGATGCTGAAATACATGAGTTTTGAATGCTATTCATTGCATGATCTTTGGCTTCCTCTAGTGGCCAGTTTTGGTAAATAAACCCTGGAAATGCTTATAAATATGTATTTCTGAGTGTTTTTGTGTTGTTTTTTAAATCAGTATTTTCAGGCAGCGGATAAGTGAATCAGCAGATACTGATCCCTTGGACGAGGGGGGCGTCCTCCTGTGCTTGGAGTTGAAGAGGCATAAAGTCCATGGCATTCTCTTAACACGAGGCCATTAGGTCTGAAAGTCGGACACTTGGGCATTTCCCCAGGGGTTCCCCCCCTTCAGAACTTTATTAGACCTCTAGGAGAAAATGAATCTGAAATGGAATAAGAGAGAATAAGATAGATCCAGAGATTTGTGCCTGGGAAAGAGGGGATCCGGTGGGGAAGGGCGAGCTTCCTTACCCGCTTGCCTTCAAGGCAAAATCTTAGAAACCTTTAGCAGGATTGAGGGCTTAGCCCAGGTGGGCTTCAGTCCCATCCCTCCCGAAAACAACTTCAGGCCACATTCTGAATGTTGGTCCTCCTAGAGGTAATAATAATAAGGCACGCCTGTGCTTAGCGATTCCGCCGTAGGTGGTCTGCGTGGCCTTTCCGGAGCAACACGGATGGCGGGTCCTTGAGATGGTCGCCCTTCTCACTCCACCCCCATGATGCCACTCGGGCCGAGGGCCTGGCAGGCACGCCTTCCTTCCTTCTCCTCCGGCGAGCCAGCCGAGACTCTTTTCTGGAGAGCCGAGGACCGTTTCTACTCCTGCTTAGACCAAGCTGGGCCACTTCTTGAGAGCGGTTTGCCGTGGGCTGCGGGGAGAACCGCCGCCCGCCTTGCCGTGACATCAGGGGAGAGAGGAAAGCGAGCGACCCTTTTGCCTCTCCAGAAGGGGCTGCGGTAGAATGTGCTTTTCCCACCTCTCTTCTGTCTCGGCTCCCCACTGGTCAGAGCCAGAGCGGACGAGTTCTACGAAGCTGGCCCCTTTCCTCCCTTCCTACTCTTCCTTTGCTGGGGAATGGAACGTCACAGTCATGGGCACAGATAGAGAGGCATGCCTTGTCATCTCAAAACCAAGGGTCCTGGTGAAGGGGAGCGAATGCCGTCTTGACCCCCGGGGAGCCACGGGGTGTGTGTGTGTGTGTCTCTCTCCCTCCTTCCTTCCCACCTTGGCTCTTGGAAGCAACGGCAGCAATAGATGGTCCTTCCTTTCTTTCTTGGCTGCAGAATCACCATTTTGGGAACAGGTGCTAAATGGCTCGCCGTCCTGGAGGAGAAGAACCTTAAACCATGTAAGTGTGGCATGCCCCCCCTTGCTGCTCTCTTTGACTTTGCGGGCGGCCTTTTCACTTCCGGTGCCCCCCCGGCCTCTCGGCTTGCGTACCCCCAGTTGGCCAATGAGGGAAGAGGGGGGTCAAAGCCGGTTCTCGGGATGTGGTTGGACCACAACTCCCATCCTCCTTCTCCGGTGGGTTAGCGCCGCTGGGAGTTACTCTTGAAGGACAGCTGGAGGGGCTGCATTTTGTCCTCCCTTCCACTAGAGAGTGCTGGTTTTTGTCACGTCCCCGCTTAAGGCGGTGGGGGGGTCGGGAACCTTCAGCCCCCATGGCTCTCTTGACCCATGAAAAGTCTGGAAGCCCTTCTACCTGCCTGAACTTCTGGTCTTTGGGAGGAAGGAAGGATTCTCCTCCTCGCCTTTACCATCCCATGACCGAGGGGAGACATACAGGGGCTGCTTCTTGTTATTTGTGATCCTCGATGCCCGTACGTTCGGGGAAAAAGTGACCCCTCCAGAAATATTTGATTACAGTAGAAAGTCCATATCCACGGGGCCGGTTCCTGCAGTTTCACTTACACATTGCTTGAAAATATTAAATCGCCCCGCCGAAGTGCAGGTTTCCAGAACTGGCCACTAGAAGGAACCAGGGACTATGCTATTTATATGAGGTTTTCTATATCCTCGTTTTTTAGGGGCTTCGAACCAGTCCCCCATGGATACCACCAGCCGACTGTGCAGCTCTTAGTATTCCTTACCACGGGTTATGGCAATTGGGATTGCTGGGAATTTCGTTCCAGTGACATCTTGAGAGTCATTGGCTGAAATCCTGTTGTGTAGTTACGCAAGTGGCGTAACTTTTTAGAAGTCAATTTCCATAAGTTAAGAAATCTCTGCAGTCATTCATTATCTGTTGTCCACTGAATGAGACCACCCAGGGGTGGCAAAGTCTGTAAGAAATCTCTGCAGTCATTCATTATCTGCTGTCCACTGAATCACGCCACCTGGGGGTGGCAAAGTCTAAAGATTTCTTAACTCACAGCAATTTGCCTCGGAAAGTGGCGCACTCTGCATAACTACGCAACAGGATTCCAGCTGTCGGGTGGTTTTACTCACCCCATTGTACAGCCTGCCTTGATCACTCCACCAGCCTGCCTTGGGATTTGAGAGTCCCGTGGCCTGCCTCTAAAGAGGGGTGGGGGGTCTTACCTGCCTGTAAGGCCGGGGGACATTAGATGGTCCTTTTTGGCTTTGCCCATCCGCCTCCCCGGTGGGGCCGGCATTCTTGGAGACGCGTCTGTGCTGAAAGAGTAACACTGCTTCTCCCTTGGTCCTTTCCCACCAGGTGAGACTCACAACCTTCAGACGCTCCATACGATCCTGTCCACTGGCTCACCCCTCAAGCCACAAAGTTATGACTACGTCTACAAGCACATCAAGAGCAGCATCCTGCTCGGGTCCATTTCAGGTACCGGTTAGCCAAACTTGAGCTTCGGCTGGGATGGTTTGTGTTTGCGGTGGAAGTTCAAGCCGGGGTGAGGGAAGAAGGTGGTTCTCTGGATATTCTTCAACTACAGCTCCCATTCGCCCTGGCCAGTGCTGGTGGGGGTTGCTGGGAAACGGAGTCCAGTGAAGCTGTTGTCACGAGGACAGAGTTGGGAGGCGGGGAGCCGTTGATGCTGTCTCGAGCTCACACAAGGAACGTAATCAATAAATTCTACTTTTCTCTTTAAAGAGCTGCCCAGATAGGATTCTCTCTCTCTTCCTCCCCCACCTCCTGTTTTAGGAGGCACAGATATCGTTTCCTGCTTCATGGGCCAGAATGTGTCCATTCCGGTTTATAAAGGCGAGATCCAGGCGCGGAATCTCGGCATGGCGGTGGAAGCCTGGAACGATGAAGGTATGATTTGCAGCTCCTATTCTGTGTCTTTGTCCACTAAAACCTACGGGAGTTTTTGTCCAGAAATACAGTAGGAATCCCATATCTGCGGGATCAGTATCCACGGTTTCACGTATCCACAGTCCGAAAATATTAAAAATAATAAATAAAAAACCCTAGAAATATGTATTTATGCATATTTCTGTGACATAATTGGCCCCAAGAGGGAATCGGAGGCACTGTGATATATAGCAGTGGTCTGTGACATAATTGGCCCCAAGAGGGAATTGGAGGCAGTGTGATATATAGGGTTAGCTGTTATATCTGCAGTTTTTGGCGGGGGCTTCCTGTATCCCTCGGATGGCGCCACGGCGTGTAGATGATTGTCAGGTTCCCAATCTCTTCCTTTATGGGTTCTCTTTTTTTTAAAAGAGACACAGTTTGAGCCCTCCAGCAGGGTGGATAGTGGCTCAAGAAAGAATCATCTCTGTGGTTGTACCGAAGCGCAGAAGGTTTGGCTGGCATCTTTTCCCTGGGTCTTTTGCCAGGTGAAAAAGTTTTGTCAAGCTTTTGAGGGTGCTAGAAAACTTTGTGAAGACTCCAGTGGTATGAAATAACAGCAGGATCCCCCCCTATCCACGGGATCAGTATCTACTGATTCACTTACCCTCTGCCTGAAAAGACTAAATAAACCAAATCTCAGAAATGAGGGTGCTAGAAAACTTTGTGAAGACTCCAGTGGTATGAAATAACAGCAGGATCCCCCCCCCTCATCCAGTATCTACCGATTCACTTACCCTCTGCCTGAAAGTACTAAATAAAACAAATCTCAGAAAGACATGTTTATATGTATTTCCAGGGTGTATTGAGCAGAACTGGCCATGAGACGGTGCTAGAGACCCATGCGTTGTACGGGGTTCAATATTTCCGTGTTTTTCTGCATCCGCCGAGGGGCTTGGAACCGAGTCCCCGCGGATACCGCAGTCCAACTTTACTTGCTCTGTGTTCACAGTGCGGGAAGGTAATCAAGTTGTTGATGATGATAAACCCAGGAACGGTAGTAGGAATAACAGTGTTCTTCATCCTTTAAACAGGGAAGCCAGTTTGGGGGGAGAGTGGAGAGCTGGTTTGCACCAAACCCATGCCCTGCCAGCCAACACACTTCTGGAATGACGAGAATGGAAGCAAGTACCGGAAGGCGTATTTTTCAAAGTTTCCAGGTATGTCTCAAGAGAATTTCCGGGTTGTGTTGGTTTTGCTGCACGCAAACCCGGGGTCTTTTAAGATGCCAGAAGGAGGTGCAGCGGTCTTCAAATACATCTACAGTGGTGCCTCGCTTGACATCTAGGCCAATGTTGTCAACTCTGGCCGGCAGCATCTGCCTGCACTTTCAGGCAAGGGTGTTTGTTACACCTGCCTAGAGATGCCGAGGATTGAACCTGGTCTGTCCAGAACACTTGGTCTACAAGCTAGCTTTGACTTCTTTTTAAGCTTGAAGCGTCAGACCCCTGCTTTTGATGCTTCCTTATCTTAAACAACCCTTTGTTTTGGAGTTTATTCATAGGCAACTAAAATGGCTCGCAAGGCCTCCACGGAACATGCCTTCAAAGGCTTGATAACCGTTTTTGTTTCTCCATTGTGTTTTGATGGCATCACAATCTCTTTCATTTGTTCTCTGTGTTTCCGAAAAGCTTCCACTGCAGAGGCGTTAAGCCAGAACCACGGCTGTATGCCGGGTGTCCTCTTTTTGACCTCCTTTTGATTCCTCTTTTTCCCCCCATAGGCATTTGGGCTCACGGTGATTACTGCAGGATCAACCCCAACACAGGAGGCATCGTCATGCTTGGGCGCAGGTAAGCGGACCCTTGCGCCCTGGGCTCACGGTGATTACTGCAGGATCAACCCCAACACAGGAGGCATTGTCATGCTTGGGCGCAGGTAAGCGGACTCTTGCGCCCCTCTCTCGCCTCTACTCGGCAGATGCTTTGTGGGATGTTAGTAAAGTTGGGCCAGTTGAGGGCCTGTCCGCATGCAGGGTGGAAGGGGAAAAAAAAACCCTCAAATGATTTTTTAAAAATTAAATTGATTTGAATTGTGATTTAATTATTTTTAAAAAATCTGATTTTTTAAAAAAAAAATTAAATCATGATTTAGATAGATTCGATTTAAATCAAATCCACCCTCTCAGTATGGGAAGGGAAGGAAGCTCAGACAGACTATAGACCGGGTGCGACCGGGGTCCCAAGCTTTTTGCTTTAGGCACCACTCATCCGGGCGGAGTGTCATGTCTCGTTCCACCCTCATTTGGTTGTAACGCCTTCCGAGACCCCTGGGATTGCGCAGAGCGCAGGATAAAAAAGACATTTTTATGCATGCCCTGTTGTGTTCCCTCCTCTTTCCTCGTTTTGTCCGTTGTTCAGACTTGCCTAAAACATGAACTGCTAAGGGACAAAATCTCTTGTAATCTAGTTAAATGCCAGGGATTGTTTTCCTGCTGCATATTTAACACAGGGGGTTTATGGAGAGCCGCAGCGGATGGCGTCAGTTTCAGCTCTTCATCAGGCCTTGATTAAGTCATAATGATTCTTTCCCCCTCTCCCTCTGTGGCTTGTCCTTCTTCGCAGTGACGGCACGCTGAATCCGAGCGGCGTGAGGTTTGGGAGTTCTGAGATCTATAACATAGGTATGCAATTTACATTTTCATCCACTTCTCTTCCCCGCGCTGGAATTGTAGTATTGGTTGGCTTTATTTTTTATGGACTCTCATTTTGAGCAGCCAAAGGCTGGCTCTTCAGGGGTTATCTTTCAGGTGAACAGCCGCTGCATAAAGTAGAGTAGAAAGAGAGCAGATTCGGTGTTACAGTAATAAGGATCTTAGACCTGCAGAGCGGGAAGGGACCCTGTGGGATCATCAAGTCCAGCCCCTTTCACAGAGGCACCGTGGGGGGGGAATTCGAACTCCCACCCTCTGGCTCCAAAACCAGAGACCTCCCCTCCTGAGCTGCTGTAAGGTTTGTAAAAGCTTGGTGGCCACGTGATGGCCACGTCTCTTTAGGAGATATTGGCTACCAGTTTCTGCCAGGCACCCAGTGGGGGCCTCGTCTTCACAGCTTCTGCAAGGAAAAACTTAGATTTCTAAGAATAAAACCGGCTTCCCTGTTCGTTGGAGAGTTGTTCCCAAGGATGGTTCTTACAGCGCCAAGACATGATGTGAAGGGCTGCTTGAAAAGGGAAGGAGGCCAGAGAGGATGAAACAATCATCTCAGAGTTGCCCGGATGTGGTCGTCCCCTTCCACAAACCCAGCCTCTGCCTAGAACCGCTCACCCTCCGAGGACGATCTCGCGCTATCGGGCGTGAACCATCCCACTTCTGGTGCCCCGTGGGCTCTTTTGGAGGCCGAGCCAGACAAAGGAGCCTGTTTGTCTCCGGCAAAGCCTCCTGAATAAATTCCTTGGACTGCTCATCGTGGCCCATCGTTCATGCCCGGTGCACAAAGGCCCTGCCAGCGCAGGTCCCCATGAAATCAGCCGAGGAGGGTATTGTGTGCGAGAAGGGGAGGGAAAAGGCAGTGGTGTCAGAAACCGCGTCTGAGTGAATCGGGGCACAGTTCGGCTGAATATCTCTCCTGTGCGGGCAGCGATTCAACTGAAACGGCCTTCTCTTTCCACCTTGTATCTCCCTCCCCTTTCCTGACACCCCTGCCGTTTATTATCTTGCCGGCGGCCCTCTGTTACAGGGGGCTTTTCTTTTCATATCGGGACGGAGGGTGGGAGCGAAGGAGGGGGTCGAGAAACGCCAGGCCGCTTCTTTCTCGTAGCATGTAGGAAAAAAGGAGAAAGAAGGCAAGAGGGGAGGCAACCTTCCCCCAAATTTAGAAAAGACTGAGAAAGTGGTCTCCCCTTCTCTTCCTCCGGGGGGGGGAGCCCTGGGACAGTGCCGCTGGCCCAAGGCTCCCCAGGCTGGTTCTTCTCCCAGGAGGCCCAGTGGGGGGAATCGAACTCCCCACCTCTGGCTCCACGGCCAGAGACTTAAACCTCTGAGCTCTCCAGCCAACTTTTTATAGGTACAGTGGGGTCTCGACTTATGAACGGCTCGACATACGAACGTTTCGACTTACGAACAGCTCTCATAGGAATATATGGACTCGACTTACGAACTTAGATTCGGGTTAGAAACTCTTTTTTTTCCTTTTTTTAAAAGCTAAGTCATCTTAGGTTAAAAGGAAAAAAAGAAGAAAAATATCCCCCTCTAGTGGCAGAAAGCGGAATAGCAGCTTCCCATTAGTTTCTATGGACGAAAAGAGCAGATACGGATTAAATGGTTTTCAACGCATTCCTACGGGAAATGCAGATTCGACTTAAGAACTTTTCGACCTGAGAACTGCCTTCCAATACGGATTAAGTTCGTGAGTCGAGACCCCACTGTATTCATTGCCCTCCTTTCTGAACCAGGGTTTGGCTTGACTCCTGATGTCTATTTCCGGGGGGGTCACCCTTGGTCTCTCAACCCGTTCCTTCCTCGTTTCTTCTAGTGGAAGCGTTTGAGGAGGTTTCCGACAGCCTCTGCGTCCCTCAGTACGACAAAGACGGCGAAGAGAGGGTGATCCTTTTCCTCAAAATGGCCACCAACCAAGAGTTCAGTCTGGATTTGGTGAGGCGGATTAGGGAAGCGATTCGGCTGGCCCTCTCCGCCCGGCACGTCCCCAGCCTCATTCTGGAAACCGAAGGCATCCCGGTAGGTGCTAGCCATGTTTTTCTTCTTCCTACGGCATATTTTTTTTTGTCACCTTGGAACAGCAATTAAGGAGCGGTTGTCATCTCTCTTCAAAGCCCACACATGCCTGGAAATTTTAGCCTCATTTTTTTCCCCCTGGAAAAAAAACTAGATTGGAGTCTTATAAATAGTTTGTCCATGTTGCTTAGCAACGTGGGCACTTTTCCTCTTGAATAAGCCTTTTTTAAAAAAATAACAGGTTCTGTTCCCCAAGAAAGATCTATACTAGGTTTATAAATTTACATGTTCTGTTTGGATTGCGAATTCTTGGGTGTTCTCATTAATACAAAACGGGATGATAAATTTGGAGTTCTTGATCAGCCAGAGCGCCTCCCCCGACATCACCCCTTCGGTTTCAAATTGTTCCATTCTCCCGCCCCCCCCCAAAAATCGTTAAAAACAAGCCCGCCCCGCTGTCTCGTTGCAGAATGTTTTAAAGGCTGGAGGTGGCTGAGAAAAGCAAAGAAAAGGGCTTAAATTTTGAAATTTAACTCCCTCTTTCCTGAATTGCGGGTGGCGTTGCGTGGAAGTCCGTCACCAGATGCAAAATGAAGTATTGTATGTTTTCTCAAGAAGAGGAGCGAGGGGTGTTTTGGTTGGGTTGCTCGCTGGTAGCCAAGATGTACGGAAGAAATTGCTGACCGTTTCTCTTGCGTAGGGTATTTCATGCATTGCAGGTCTTGGATTGCCAGGAAATTAAAATATATATATATCCCTAAGCCCTACTGAGGTCACTCACAAGAGTGCATAGCAAGATTTGGCAGTGGTCATTCATGTGACCCAGTGGTTTCCCAACCTTGGGAAAAACTGAGTAATCTGTTGGAATTTTTTCCATCTCCTTTGGATGCAGCCGGGTTGGAAAGGGAAGCACCGTTGACCAAAATAATTCCGTATATAGAAAAAGAGAGCTACCTGGCCCTCCTTTCCCGCCATCGCCTTCAGCTCTAGTCATAACCAGCACCCCCTTCTCCGGAGCCGCCCCCTCTCCTCTCCTGCCTTTTGCTTGTTGCCTCCCCCCAAAAAAATCAGGGCTATAAAAGCCACAACATACACAAATGCCAGTCTCTGTTTTAATTCCAGCTGAGGGTGATTGACTCCCAAGAACTCGGCAAGCCTGCCTGCCAAGAGTAAAGTCAGTGGCATCAAGGTGTTTATGCGACAGCTGGTAATGCAGGAACCCTGGTTTAGATCATTAATTAGCTCACACTCTGAAATAATTTATAACCAAACCTTTCGTTTGAGGCGGGAAAAGGAGCCAACATGAAAGCAATCAGAGCTGTATTGGAGGGGTTTCTTTTTTCTTTTTTGTTTCTGTTTTCTTCCCCTTGAACTGGCTTTTTAAAAAATCAGTTTTTACCCCATTATCTAGAACTGTGTTTAGCCCTATTTTACTTTTTCCAGGAGACACTCCCAGCCACCTTTCTTTGCTTCTCTCAAGACAATCAGGAGCTGAAATTCCAAGTACAGTGGTGCCTCGCAAGACGAAAGTAATTCGTTCTGCGAGTAGCACCGTCTTACAAAATTTTCATCTTGCGAAAAGCGGTTTCCCATAGGAATGCATTGCAATGCATTCCTATGGGAAACCTCGCAAGATGAATTATTTTCGTCTTGCGGGGAAAAAATCGTCTTGCGAAGCACGGCCATAGAAGAAGCCGTCTTGGGAGTCACCAACATGATCGCAAAACGCTTTCGTCTTGTGAGTTTTTCCTCCGGCGAGGCGTTCGTCTTGCAAGGCACCACTGTATATGGATTGCAAAGACTTGCTGTCCATCTGAGGAGGAGGGTCACCATGGCTCAGATCCTGTGGCTTAGGGTGGCAAATGGCAAGTCGGCCCGTTGAATCCATGGGACTTAACAGAGGAGTAGATTTGGCAAACCCCCCATTGATTCGGAAGGACTGCTTTGGTGTGGCAGATTCGGCGGAGCAAATTAGTGACAGGATTCTGCCCCATGTCAAAAAAAGAAAAGAAATAAGGGGGCTGGACTTTGTGTGTGGCAGATGGCTCCCTCCTGAACAGGTAGAATAGAAACAATTTCAGAAACGATTCAGTAAAGGTGGAAGAAAGCACATGCAATGAAGGAGGTGTGTGAGTGACTGCAGCCACACCGGATCACTTTTAGGTGCGGATTTTCGTTCCCCTCCAAAATATAGTTGCACAATTCCTACTATTGAGAGCAGTGCAGAATTCCCAGCCCATCACGGATGGTGAGAGGTGTCCTCACCAATCTGCCCCGTTCTCCAGGTCTTTACTCATTATCATTTACTTGTTTACGAACATTTATAAATTTGGCAATGTGAAAGCAATGTACTACATTAGAAAAAAAAGTACTGTCCATGCAGAATGCAGAGTTCCGGTTGTCCATGCAATGGATGATAGATTAGGTTTTTTTTTTCAGAGAAGGCTGGAGGAAAGATGGCTTTTCGGGGCATGTCTGGAAAAAAAAAGTTTCCCGTCAACTTGCATGCTTCACCGTTCCTTTTCACTTTTGTTTCTCAGTACACGATCAACGGGAAGAAGGTGGAGGTGGCCGTCAAGCAGATCATCGCTGGGAAGGAAGTGGCCCAGCGAGGCATTTTCTCCAACCCGGAGACCCTGGACTTCTACCGAAACATCCCGGAGCTCCAGAACTTCTGAAGGAAGCTGCCTTTTCCCACCTTTCAGCGTCGGTGTGCGTGCGTGCGTCTGCGTGTCTGGTTTTGTACCGTGTATATAATATGTATATGGATACTGTATGTAAAAGAAGCTTTTATTTAAGTAACAGTGGCTTCTTTGGGAAAAGGAGAAAGACTGTTATTTCCCCCCACCCTTTGAATCGCCATGTATTTCACAAAAATGGCATTTTGAGGCGCGCTCTGTTGCAGACCTCAGCATGCTGGCATTATTTTCCTTTTGACGAGAGACGTTTTTGGCACGTGTGCTAAACTGAGCAGGCCTTCTGGGTGGAATTCTAACGTAGAAGGGACGAGAGTGGTCTCTGTTTTGCTTGCTGTTTTCGTGGCGGGTGCCGAGGATTCCGGGAAACCTCGATTTGGGGCGTTGGTCGTTAGAAAACGATGGATACCTTGGTTTGCCTCCTACTGTCGTTCTTTACGCACAGACGGCTGTTGCAGGAGAGGATGAACACCTACAAGTGTGTCGTCTTAATGAATTAGAAGCCGAAGTGGTGGTTTGGGTGGTTCGATGCACCCAGTGGCGATGGGTCATTGTTTGGAGGCTCTCCAACTGTTTTGGACTTCAGATCTCAGAGGTTCCTCCAAACAGCGTGGCCAACGGCTGGGGATTCTAGCAGGGGAAGATCCAGAATTGAAGTCTGGGCTGAAGGTCCAGAAACACTTAGCAACAGAGAGGGTGGGGGCTCCTAGACAGACGGTCCCCTGGAGGGTCCCTCAAAGCAAGGGAGTCTTGAGAAAACCATATTGGTAATGGGCTGTTTTTTTGAGTCTTCAACATGTTCCTTGTGCTCCATCTTTCTTTGGAGGCTTCGAGGTCGGTCGTAAAAGCTTAACGAGAAAGCACACACCCATCTTTTTAAAAAAGTAAATGAATGAGCAGTGCTATATTTTGCCTGTATGCTGCTATGTGTGAAAGAGTCGGGCCCTCGTCTAGAGGTGACAAGCCGGCATCCTCTTGTCATGAGTGGGACCAGTGGGTGGGGACTGGCTGAAAATCCCATCTGTTCCACTGGACTTGAGTGCGAGTTGCATTTTCCTTTCGCTCAGCTGCAGGCTAAAGCGACCTTTCAATGCTTCCGATCGCATCTCTTGTGGAGGAGACGGGAGGTTGGGCAGCTGGAAACGCGAGTATCCATTTAGCGTTCTGCAACCTTCCTGCTCGGAGGAGACGGGAGGTTGGGCAGCTGGAAACCTTCCTGCTCAGATTATGTTCTTTTGCAATCCTAGGGAAGGAAGTCAGTGTGACAATACAATTCCATGTCTCTTGCACAGCACAGATCCCGGGGTCCAGAGGGGCAGGGGAGAGCCTCTGATCTTACATGTCCTTTGTTGACCCCCCCTAAACAGGAATCGCATGGCAAATTGAGCACGGGGGAGAGGGCCCAACACCGTGTAGGACCTGATCAAGACCTCTGATGAAGCTCCTTCTGCCCCTCAGCTGCTTTAATTTCCCGTGTGTTTGGATATTGTTTCACCCAGCAAAGAAGGCCACTGGTATTGTTCTGTTAAATGGGATGGAGAAAAACCGGTGGCCCTCCCTACGTTGAACTGTAACTCTCGGATATTGTTTCACCCAGCAAAGAGACCACTGGTACTGTTCTGTTAAATGGGATGGAGAAAAACCGGTGGCCCTCCCTACGTTGAACTGTAACTCTCGTTGTAGTTGACCCTTGGCCATGCGGCTTGGCCCCTGATGGGAGTTATTGTAGTTGACCCTTGGCCATGCGGCTTGGCCCCTGATGGGAGTTAAGAGCCCTCCTGACACCCTGAGGTGGAAACCGAAGCTCCTTTATACCCCACGTTAGAGGCCACAGAATGAAAAAATATATATATTCAGAAGCCCATTGACTACAATTTGGCCAGAAAAGGGTTATTTGGTCTTCTCTGCATGCTTTGGACTACAGATCCCATAATTCTGACCATTGGCCGTGACAGTGGAGGTGGATCACTAGCCGCAGCTGTCTGGAGGCTACCTGGGTGCTGATGTCTAAACTTGGGGTTTCCGTGAGAAAGCAGGAGAAGAGGTAGAATTGGTGAAACTTGGCCTTTTAGCCTTGGCTGGATTAGAAACACTTTGAGAAGGCCAGATTCAGCGTTTGGGCTCCCAGCTGCTGACTTGGAATCCCAGACACCCCCCCCCCAAAAAAAACCTTGTGTTTTATGGTGCATACCTACAACTTCCATCCTCTTTTTCAAAGAAAAATCCTGTTGATCTTTTGAGGGTGAGGGGGTTGAAAAAATGCACAAAGTCTGTCGGTGCTTTTATGTATCTTGGTTTTTAAAGGGATTTTTTGTTTTGTTTTAATTTCCTAACAAACTGTGACGAGTGTATGGAAACACTACCGTCCTTGTGTTTTTAATAAAGATTGAACTGGAAGAACGGTGCAGTGAAAACCCAGGGTCCAATTTTTGTTACTTTGAATTACTGGTGGGTAAATTCTGTTTAGGGATTTTTCCTATTTTGTAATCATGTTGCTGATGTTCTGAGGGATTTAAACCTGAATAAAAAAAATGCAGAATAAATTCTCACTTTTATTGGAGTGAATTCCTCTCGAGAGCAACGCCATTCAAGGTCAAGAGACAAAAATGAATAGCAAAGCTGTCCTAGAAACCAGGCACGGGAAATACACTGGCATTGAATTTTTCTTACTCATTTTATGAGGTTCTCTTAGGTTGGTTGTACTGAAAGGCTTTATTTCATGAAGTCAATGGCCGTTGCAGCCTTCCGTAGAAGAGAATACATTTTAGAAAGACACTGTTCTGAAAGTTCAGTGCCAGAATTTTTCCTGGAAGTTTAAAGATGAAAAGACTTAGATTGTGTGGAGCACAGTAACCAGATATATCGTGCAATCCATGGGCGTACTGCTCTCCTTCTCTTAATGCCTCTGAGCTGTTGGTTCTGCCCTGCGGTGGTTTGGCCCCGGAAGTGTACAAACATCCACAAGACCTGTCTTGGCCAAAATCCATCAGTGGCAAGGTTCCCTCCCCTCCCCAACCCTAGATCTTACAAGAAAAATATGCTGTATTTGCAAATCTGGGTATCTCTACCAGTTTTCCACCAGTGATCCTCTACGGGGTTGTTTACTTTTGGAAGAGAAGTCTCATGTGACTGCTGGTATTGACATACGGTGGGGCAGCCGTGTTGCATGGAAATGCCTTTTCCCCCATTCCGAAACTTAAAATATGTTTAAAAATCCCTCTGGCGTTCATTGCATCCTCGTCTGATTTCCCCTTGCCAACTATACATGCTACATTAATAGCATATGTGGACTCGTTAAAACTTCATTAGGTATTGTTTAATTTGTGCAAAAAATAAGAGATGGCTGTGGTTTACAAGGCGTTCAGATCATTATTAATAAGTCAATTTGGAATAAGTTCGTTCCTTTAATGCTGGTTGGTTCAGGGAGGCATTGAGTAACGGTAGAAGAATGCCAAGATTTGATTGAAGTGGATTTCTTCTGAAAGTTACATTTCCCAAAAACTGCATGGCAGAACTCAGGCTTCGGGAGCAGATGGCCTCCTGTCTCTGCTCTTTATTTCCTCTGTAATTTGGCACCATTGTTTTTAAAGCATGAATCAATCTCAACATGATAGACTGATGGTACTCTTTGTATCTGTGATAGTTCCCTCTCTTCTGTGGGAGAGATGAGAGAGTCCCTGTATTATTTCAAATCAAGGAATAGAGCTAACAGGATGGTTTATATGCCCTTCTTTCCTTTCCAGGGGGGAGGACAATCAGAGGGGATTCCTAGTGAGGGGCAGCTGCCGTGGGTCAAATTAAACTCCTAGGTTGGAACTTTTCTTCTTTCCTGGTCTTTTAACTACAGGTGATTTGAGGGAAGAAGCAGACAAGACAGCAACTTCGCCTTCAATCCATGTTTAAAACTGTAATGAAAAAACAGTAACTTAGAAGCAGAGCTGGCTTACAAAATAAAAGACATTCATTATCCCCCAGTGAGAGTTCACAGTTCTGCCCAGTTGCAAACTGGCTTGGATGTTCGGTCACTGGGAGGCAAACAATGGGCTTTGTCTGTGTGCTGATTGTGCAAACAGCTGTTTTGAAGAATGCCTCTCTGGAGCAATAATGTTTTGTCACCTGCTAACGGTGAAGCTGCCGTGGCTGAATATGTTGCTTGTTGCAAAATTTCAGGTCAACCAGGAGCCTCCCTCTTGAAGCGCTTATGCCCCCACTTTGCAAAAACGTGGACCCTACCAACGAAGATTTCAAGATCTCGGAGGGAAAGAGCTGAGCATTTCCCCTTCTTTATTCCGGGGAAAATGCGATTTAATCTGCGAACAAGGGGCTCTTCCGCGTTCTCCCTTGGTTTCCCCCCAATGGAGGTTTTAAAGCACAAAATTTTAGAATCGTCTAAACAGTGGATTTCTTTTAATTTTTTAAACACACAACCTAAGCGAAATGACATGCAAATGAAGGCTGAGCTGGAGTCAACCTCTGGAACATTATGACAGGAGCTGAGTTTTGGAGTATGTCTGTATTGTTTTTCCTATGTCTTTTTTCTTTTGCCTTCTTGGGACTTGGGGACTTCGTTTAGATTCCAATCATGAGATAATCAACTGCAGTCAAAAGCGTCCGGATGGACGCACTCTGCATGCAGATGGAGAGAGAGGCAGCTAAGCAGAACAGGCCCTAGCGATTCTAGCAAAAGTGGACCTCCTGAAAATATATATATTTTCCTGGCTATCCACATATGAATAGTGTTAAATCAACAGCTTAGTGTGCAGATTCTCCAAGCGCACACTGAGGACAGAATCAACAGCTTAGTGTGCAGATTCTCCAAATTACTTCTGAAGTTCCCCGAGCGCACACTGAGGACAAGCGAGATAGGAGATTTTGTAGCACGAAGAGGTCTTCATGAATCGTTGCCAGTTTCGAGATAGGAGATTTTGTAGCACGAAGAGGAGGTCTTTATGAATCCTTGCCAGTATTTTTGCAACCGATTATTGCCATGGAGTTAGTCTTTATGTACTGCACTCTTTCACTCATCATCATCATGATCTTAGAACTGCAGAGCTGGAAGGGACTCTATGGTGTCCAGTCCCCATCAAAGAGGCCCCAGTGGGGGAATTGAACTCCCAACCTTTGGCTCCACAGCCGGATGCCTA